CTCCTCCAGTCTGCTCTGGTGAGACTCCCCTGAAGTGTTGGGAACTGAGTAATGACGTGGACCTGTGGAGCAAGTCCAGAGCACCTTTCCTATGCAGAAATGCTGTGAGAGCTGAGATTGTTTAGCCAGGAGAAGAGCAGGCTCTGGGGAGACCTTACTGCAGCCTTTCAGTAATTATAAAAGGCTTTTGAGAGATAGAGGCCTTTTACTGGGATCTGTGGTGATGGTACAATGGGCAGTGGTTTTAAATTTAAAGAGGGCAGATTTAGATTGGATTAAAGGAAGAAATTCTCTACCATCAGGATGGAGAGACTCTGGGAGAGGCTGCTCAAGGAAGAGGTGGATGTCTCATCATTGGAAATGTTCAAGGTCAGGTGGGACAGAGCTTAGAAGAACCTGGTCTAGTAGAAAGCATCCCTGCCCACTGCAGGGGGGTTGGAACTAAATGATCTTTAAAGGCCCCTTCCAGCCCAAACCATCGCATCAAACAATTCTACAGAAAAAGGGACCCGGGCCTTTTTGACAATAACTGTACTTTGTGAAACTGTACCTTATGAATTAGAATCAGTTACCAACTCCAAAAAGCAGGCAACAACACTGGTTACACTGCAGTGAAGAGGACATCTCCTTCTTTACAGGCTAAAAGGACATTTAAAAATAACGTTTTTGTAAATCACTTTACAAGTCTTTTTTTCTTCATCAATGTGACATTGAAAATATTAAAAGAAACAATTGTGAAGAAAACGAAAGTGGTGTTAGTTACCCTTCCATTCTTTACACAATAAGAAATCAGAGTACTAAGGTTTTTCTTTATCTGACATAACTACAAATATCCAAGTTCCAGTCCCTCACTCAAAAATTGACAGCTTTGGCCACAAGATATATTTTGTTAGATGCAACAGTAACACTGTTCCTGTGGGAAAGCACTCTCTCTCCAGCCTAGCCTGTGAGTACTGGGCAGAACTGCAAGGCTCCATGGTGTAGGGGAAAACATGAACTCCCTTCCTGAAAATAGCCTAATGTAGACTAAGCAAACAAAGATAAATCTGATGACATTGCAAAACGAACCAGCATGCAACATCATTACTCCACTGTTCTAAGAGTTTCTTCTGCAGGCAGACTTCTTTTGAGATGCCCACAAATTAAATGGGTGTATGACAAGGGACTGGGACTACGTTTTGCTGGCAAATCATTCAGTCCTTCCAAAACAAAAATGGGAATGTATGAAAAACACAGCCTGAACTAGTGCAGTTTATTTATTATAGCTTTTATGGGTGTATGAAGAGGGACAGGGACTACACTTTGCTGGCAAATCATTCAGTCATTCTGAAACAAAAATGGGAATGTACAAAAAACACAGCCTGAACTAGTTAAGTTTATTTATTATAGCTGCAGCGAAGAGGCAAGATTTCAGGAAGGCAGGCGATCTGTGTCCCAAGGCAGTGGAAATGAGAGGCACGGGGGTGTGGATGCCACTTAACGAGGTGTCAGGACACGGCCGGCCCAGTGCGGGGCTGCTGCCCGCCCTCCCTCCCTCCCCGAAATGTGCTCGGCTTTTTCGGTAAACTTATGGGTAAACTGCCTCCTGAGCTTTTATTCCACATCCAGAGTGATCCACACGCTACTGCAGAGGGGAAAAGCGTTCAGAGTTAATCGCTGAGCACCAGAGAACCGTGCCAGGGGCAGACGAGAGCGGACACACACACGCGGTGCCTCCCCGGGCGCCTCTCCGAGAAGCGAGGCGCGGAAGGCCCGCACCCTTCCTTCCCCGCCATGCTACTGACATGAAATACTCAGTCGGCATTTCGGGACCCGCGAGACCCCCCCGCCCTGCGCCTCGCTCGCACCGAAGGGACGGGGACAGGCCGGGCCCGCCGCTCCCGGCGCCAGCCGAGCCCCGGCCCGCTGCGCTCGGCGCCGCGCTCTCACCTGCGGCCGCCGCCACTCCCGGCTCCCGCCGCTGCCCCGGACCCCACCGCGCGTGGCCTCCGCTGCCGCCCGCCCGCCCGGTCGCTGCCGCTGCGCAGCTTCCGGCGCGCTCCCGCCTCCATGCGGGCCCGGCCCGCCCCGCTCCCGGCAGCCAGCGCAGGCGGAGCCACCGCCGGGCGGGCCCTGGGCTGCGCCGAGCGGGGCCGGCAGCGCCCGAGGTATTTCTGGCTCCCTCCCACTGTCCTCCGCGTCCTTCCGCCCCGCTCCGTCACTCACGCGGCGCGGTGGGAGGGCCCGGCGGCGAGGGCCGGTCCTGCGGTGCCTCCCCGGGCAGGGAGGGGCCCGCTCCTGCTCCTGCTCCCCCCCAGCCGAGGCCCGGGGGGCGGGAAGGGCCGCGCTGCCGCTCGGCGCGGTGCCCGGCGCAGGGAGTTGATGATTAACCTGCGGGCCATTGAGTGCCTGCCTAAAGTCGCGCCCAAGGTGGGGTTTAACCTTGTCCGGGGCTTGGTGCCTGCCGTGTGACTGCCCGAGACCCTGGGGCGGCCAGTTCTGCTTCTGCCGCCACCGAAGCGCTACAGGGATGCGCAGCTCCCTGCTGAAAATCTCTGCTCTAAATCTCAGCCTAGAGCTCGCCTCGCAGTCGTTTTGGGAAGTTTCAGGCTCAAGAGGTCGAGGTGATGTGGGGGTCTCGGCGAGCGTCTGTGCAGCAGCAGCTTCGGGCTGCAGGAGTGCTTGTGCCTGGCGCTTGAATCCCTGCCGGCCCCTTTTCCTCGGGCTGAGCCGCAGGGAGCTCACAGCTGCGGCATTTAGGTCAGTGCTCCGCGTCTCTTGCGTCAGGAGAGCTGCCAGTGCGGCCCCAGCCTCTGCTCCCCGCGGCTGCGGAGCCTGTGAGTCAGGAGATTGTTCCAGTGATAGCACAGAAAATCCTTCTCTCCTCCTGCCTGCCTCTGCTTTCCTGAGCGCTTTTTAAAAACGCTCCTGGCTGCGTTTTTAAAAAGCGCTTAGCCCTGTATGATTTGCATTGCGAAATGATGTGTTACTATAACGGGTTCGTCGTAACATCCGTAATCTAATTTTTTGTTGTAGTTATTCCTTTATTTTATGCAGCAATGTTGTCAAGGTTGACTTAATGGTTGAGAGTATTTTGTTCTATTTGGAGGAAGTTTTATGCCTGACTGGAGAAATACTGCACTGAAATTTGTGAAGAATTATGTCACGAGTGCTTATTTTTTAGATTGATGTTGGGGTGTGCTTCATTAGTGCTTTGGTTTTAGCGCAAGTTTTAGCTTTTCCCAGGGGTGACTAGAGTCTGCTGTTTTGTTTCGGCCTTCCACAGACTTTTGTTTCAAGTGTGTAAAGCCTAAGAGATAATGTGGCAAAAGGTGTTTACTTGTGTGTGTTTGTGCTCTGGAAGGATTAAATAGATGTTTTTGCTGCTTGTTAGCAGGGGCTGATTTTGTAAAAGCTCGAATACTAGACCCCAGTTCTCTGGTAAATTAGAATTTATTACTCAATACTCTCAAGACTTTTTAAACTGCCTAATGCCTCCATTCTCTGCTTTGTCTCCTCCCTTCCACCTCCAACTTTCTTGGTCAATTAACTTATATTTGGGGACAGGCATTTTAGCAGGGTCTAGGAAGAAATACTTTACAGTGACGGTGGTGAAAAACTGTCAGGTTGCAGAGAGATGGTAGATGCTTCATCCATAGGAACATTCAAGGTCATTTGGGCCAGGACTCTGAGCAACCTGGTCTTGTAGATGTCCTTGCTCATTGCATGAGGTTGGACTAGATGAGCTTTAAAGGTCCCTTCCAACCCAAAGTATTCCATCATTTCAGGTGTTTTTAGGATACCCCTGGGTGCCACAGTAGGGTTTACTGATGTCCTTTATCTTTTTTCCTCCCTGACATTCAAGTTGATTAAAGGAAGGCACAGACAGAATTCAGAACCTGAGTTTTTCCATATGCTTAAGGAACAGAATTTGTGTGTTGGCAAAGAAAAGAAACTGATGTTTTCATCTCATTTTACCATAGAACTTCATTTGTCCTGAACAAACGAGTCCTATAGTAATAATTACTGTGTGATGGCAACTCTGCAGTCATGAGGAATTGATTTGAGTGTTCCAGATGTGGACTGGTGATGATTTTGGGATCTAGGTAGATTGCTGTTTGCTCAAAAGGAGTTTTGCTTTGCATGTTGTGTCAATTTGACTAGATTCGCTTTCGATTTAACTAACAGTGCATGAGCACATGGCTTGTTTCTTGTTTTATCAATTTCTATCTGCCTTTTGAAACTTTGTTTACAACATAGAAAGAATTAGGAGGGTTTTAAGATACAATTTTTGAAGTTCCTTTGGTTCAGGCAAGTGAATGGACATCCATGTCTGATTTAACTTCCTGAATCAGGGAATCATCCTCTTGTTGCACTGGACAAGCATTGTTTTCCAACCTTGTGATTAAATGGACACAGTGAAGACTCAGTCTCCCCTCAAACCCCAAGATGAACTCTTGAAATGAACATTGTTTAAGGCTTGATATATATATATATATATATACACACGTGTGTATATATATATGTATGTATGTGTATATAGGTATATATATATATCTGGTTCTTTCAAGGAGTAACAAATCTGTACAAGAAACCAGTATCTGGAACATAGTTAAGAATGTTGGGAAAATAATATTCAGGGCATTTATTTAGAAAATTGTACTTGGGCTGAGAGCATATGCTGTTCATGTGTGTCTTCTAAAAATATTTTCACATGCAAATTACACACCCTCTGGCTGCTCAGTTCTAACCATGTTGTTGCTGCATGATGATCTCTGAGAAACTGGGAATGGAGTGGGAGGTACCAGCTGAAAACTTTTGCTGTAAAGGTTTTGTTTCTTGAATTTTACGTCTGCTTGACTTTCCCCCTTTTTCCAAAACCTAACATGAGAACATTTCCAAAATGGCACTTTGCAAGTTTAAATTTTAATGTAAGAAAAATAAAGTAACTAATTATATATGTACCTCTTTTTCTCTGTTTAATTGCTTAAATATATTAATTATGTTCTGTTTTTCTGTACAGGTCACAAGAAAGCCATTGTTTCACTTAGATTTTTTTTTGTATATGAAGTCCAGGTGACTGTGATTGTAAACTTTTTTGCATTCCTCAACTATTTTTAAGCCCAAAAATTAATAACATTACTGACTATGATATATACATGTAGTATCCTTTTGCTATTGCATTGCAGTACTTTAACCAAAGGGAGGGAGATCTTTTCTAAGAGAGATTCTAAACTAAGAGACCAGATTTTTTTTGTCAACTGTTGCCTGTTTAAACCCTTTATTTTTTCTGGAGTAAAATCCTCTTACATTTTTCTGACTCATTTTCAAAAGTAGAGGAAAAAAAAGATGTGCTGCATTTTTTCCCTACTATGGTGCCTGTATGTAGCCTTGACAGAGCAGGAGAAATCTATATATTGCTCTGAGGTAAAGGTAGCTTTCTTTTTTCTTCTTGGATCTTATGAGAGTGCCTCTTATTTTGTATTCCCTAACAGGAGTGTGTTTTTTGCTGTGTAGAAAGAGAAGCTTGACACCTGATGCAGTGCTTTCAGAAATTACTGCAAAGATTTCCATTTGGGAATTGCAGCTGGCCTTCAAAATAATTTCTTATTTTTCATACTATTCTTAAAGTTATTTTACCTCCATTTTCTACAGCCTGTAGGCTTCTTGACCCCATTCTAGTAGGAACAACAGCCAAGAATTAACTTAGTATCTCTTGTGTTTCCAGAAATGAATGATTTTCAGGAATCTTTCTAGTGGGAAAATACCAGTTATGAAATGTTGTTACTGAAACCCGTGGAAAGCTGATTGCTGTCTGATATGATCATGGTGGTTATGTTGTGCATTTGTGTCCTTAGGAATCTTCCAGTAATTAGGTTATATTTCTGTGATGTTGTATTGCTACTCTTGTGAAAATCAGCAAAAATAGAAAATACAACTTAATGTTGATGGAAGCATTTGGATAGGACTCAGAATGAGGTAATATAGCAACAATCAAACAAAATTCATGTCTCTGTAGTGACCAAGATATTGGCTAGCTTGATGTTAAGGACTTGAAAAACTGATATGGAAGTTTGGAGTTGCATTGGTTAAAAGACTTACAGAGTAAGAAAGGATTACAGCAAGCCAAATGCTTTGAAATTAAATGAACAAATAGTTAACACTTGCCCAGATGTGATATACTGGTTTCTGGTTTCATGCGTTAATTGCTTTTCTAAGGCAGATTGTATTTGACTCTCCTTTTTGTTTGGTCTTTGTACTGTTTTTCTCTTCCCCTTTATGGAAGTCTGGAATTTCTAAGGTGGTTTTAGGTTTAACTGATTGACTTATAGCAGAATTCCAAGATGTATTGTCAGTAAAGTTTCATTCATTTTGAGAATAGTGATTTTCAGCAGTAGTTGCTAAAGACAGTATTTTACAGGAATTTAGGAAAACTGTGGTGATGTAAAAGGTGCTATCACTCTTTTGTGTGTGTTTATAAAAGGGAAATTAATACTAAATTATATCTATGCAAGTAAACAATAATTGATATAATGACACTTTAAAAAAGAATCTTAGTTGTTTCATTCTGTTTTCAAAGTAACTTTAAAGGCTATTTTGTCTTCTTCAAAGAAGTAGTGGTAATCAAACATAGTAGTTAAATTTGTGAATCTTGAGGAAAAAAAATGCAAAATATCTTGGCTGCAGCACCCAGTTCCTATGTTAGCAGAGCAAAGAATATTAAGTAACACACTCGCTGTCCAAGAAATTGGCCTGTTATTTTTACACTCCATAGTGTGCTTGAAGGTATTTTTCATGTCTTCTGGTACTTGCAGAAGGAAGAAGTCTTTTCAAGTGGACTGATCCTAAGTTTGTAAGATGTCAATTGGTACTGACAAAGGAAAAAGAACAATGATCCATTTGGTGAAATTTGAAAGTGGCATATTATCCATTCTTACTTACTATTTAAACTTATACTGATGTAGCATTACCTGTCCATTAGAGACTTCAAGTACCCTCTGGTACTTGAGGCACTTGAGCTACATTTTATCACCATTATCTTGTGGTTCTTTTCTTATTTAGTCTTGGAGGTTTTTGCTTTCTGCAGTCCCATTTGATTAAACATGCTGTGTAAGGACCCCGGTATTGTTACAGCCACTTTACGCTGTGTGTGAACAGAGGCTCCAGCTTCTGGCATCTCTTTCCAGTAAGTGCTGTGTAAATTCAAACAAAGACTGATGCTTATTCTGAAGAGTTTCAACTGCTTGTCCTGTCTCCTCTTTCTGGAATTGCCAGAATATTGCATACTTCCCTAATATTTCACAGAGTTGCTTGAGTCTAAAAAGTTTGTTAAAGTTGGTGGAACTAATTTTGTGTGAGCTTAAAGCCCTTGCAAAATCTTTCTTGTTTCTGAATTATCCTGTGGTGGTTTTGCTTGGCTTTCTTAATGTCTGAAAAATTTATTTGTATATTAAGTAATTCCTTAGGTAGGGCTAATGAAAGAAAATAATTTGTCTTTATTAAAGTGTAGGACCCAGATATTTTTATGTGACAGTTTTTATTTGCTTCTGGTGCTGAATCACCACATGATTTTGTTATGCTAGTTGCTGTAAGAATGCATGTAGCTCTTCACCCTCAAATGGGAGACATTTTGGGTCTGGAGACCACTACCCTTTTCTAAATAAATTTTTTTTTTAAATCTCCAAACTGTTTTTAGAGCATTTTTTCTGTAATTCTTGGACCCTGGATTGACAAGGGGTTTAGGGAGTGGATGAGTGGGATCCTGGGGGTAACAAAAAATGATTACCTTTTTTCCCTCTAGCCTAAAATATCAATAGTTCAACTTCTAGCTGAAATGAAATATTGCTGAGTTCTGGTTCGCTGATGTAAATTTAGCACTTCTTTCTTCAAGTGTTGCAACCCATTGGCCTGTTAAGTGCATCTAATTGCGTGTCCTCTTCCCTATCAGTCTCTCAACCTTTCTTTGTACTTTAAAATTAGAGAGATGTTCCAAAGCTATGGTAGTGTTCAGTACTTGTTCTATGTAAAGCATCATTTCTACCTTTGCCTTTAGAACAGAAGGGAATGGCTGTAATTGTCCTTTTCAGCCTGATAGTGCTTTTTCTGTAGATCAGAAATGTTATTAAATAGGCAGACTGGTAATTTTTATATAACCTGTGGTGTGCTAATGGAGAAGTTTTGAGGTGTGCTGATGTCATTCTCTGTACACAATATGGTATAATTGACAAAACTCTTTCTCTCTCTCTTTTTTTTTTTTTTGTTTCGTTTTGTTTTTTTTTTTTTTTTTTTGTTGCCTTTTACCTAGTTAAAGTTTTCAGTAAAGTAATTTTGCACCTTGGCTAAAACTCAAACCCAATCATCTGCTTTTACATGGGAGCAGCACCTAGCAATGTGTGGGCATACCTGTGTTGGCAACATACCACGGAGCATCTCCTTGCAATTTATTCTCTCTTCTCTCAGACAGGGTGCCAGGACAGGGACTTGGTGCTTGGTAGTCAGGTATTGCCCTTCCTTTCTCAGCTGGTATGCCAAACACCACACTTCTAAGAAAGGTTGTAAACCTGGAAATGCAGTTAGTTTTGTTGCAAACAACTATTCTAAAGTAATTTTTTTTCTTCCTAAAACGCAAAAACAATTGAGTTTATTGTTAAAAGGGGAACTTAAATATTTAGTAGAATCAATTACTTCCCTCTATTAATCAGAAAAAATATTGAAGTTTCTTAACACAAGTATAAAATAAAGATATCTAAGGTAGGAATTTGCTGGTGAAGGTGCTCTGTCAGTTTGAGAATCTGACTGACCTCTTGTTTTTGGCTTTAGAATTGCTGGCTTGATTGTTGTCTCTTCCTACCTGCATCTTTGAAGCATGTCCCTTACTTTCATGACTTTGTGGTTGAAATGGGTGCACCATCCTGTGACCTAACTTCTGCCCCTTAAACGCTGGTGGGAAATAGAACTCCTTCCGTGGATGTTGTTGGAGTAGTTTGAGTGAGTGAGGTCAAACAGGGACAGGCCCTCTATGCAACCTAGCAAACAGCAGTTGCTACTGATGAATGCTTGGGGAAGGCATGTAAACAATGTCTGGAACTGTAGAATTTAAGCAGTTTTCAGTGTATTTAAAAATACCCCAGAACCCAGTGTTTTAAAATGCCTTTTGAATGGTCCTAAGACTGAGGTTAGCAAAGTTGCTAAAGTAAATTTCTTGTTTTCTACATCTTCTGCTATTTATTTCTTGTTGCTGTTGTTACCACTTAAATAGTGCTTATATTGTTTACAGTAATGCCACAATATTAATATTTGAAGTTACTTTCAACATCAGGTATTAAATATTCAAATGAAATAATTATTTAGAAGATTAACTTTATTTAGTTTGTTTGGCAGAGTTCATGTATTGTCTCACAGCATAGATAAACTGTCACTGTATTTCATGCTTCAGAACAGAGGATGTTAGAGAACTAATATAAGGCAAATTTATTTTGTAATTCGGCTTGTGTAATTGGGTAACTATGTTTTTATAAAACATTTCAACATTTTTATTATTACTTGTGGATTGTTTCAGTGAGGGTTTCTTAATTGGGGTTTTTTTTTGGTTTTTTTTGTAATTAGCAATGCTGTACCATATTTCATGCATGAAATAAAGGTGTAAACTTAAGCACAAATCCAAAATGACGGTCCTTATCAGAGCAAAACTGGAGGAACAAAACAAAATGGCAGTACTATAACAGAAGTTCCCAAACTTATTCTGCTGAAGTTTGGTCACTGATCTTGATATCTAAAGGACTATTGGTGCCAGTGGGGTTAATTTCTCTTTATAGGTATTTTTTAGGTTTATAGGTATCTCTCAGGGTAGGACCTCTATCCTACATTCATCAACCTGCAAACCATCTGAAACCAGGACCCCGCCTTGTGCTTCTACCTTGCTTAGGGGTTCATCACACCCTACTTCACTCCATCCTTCTGTTATCCACCAAAATCTACCCCTGTACAGCAGGTTCCCTTGGAAAGCTGCTCTCATAACAGTACTGATTAGAAGACATTTGAAGTGAAAAGCAGGGGTGGCACTGGTTCTGAGTACAGCTGGAAGTGCTATAATGTTCCATGCTTAGGAATAATGTGTGGCAAGTGACTGGTCCCACAAGCCCTTCTGCAGATAAGTAATCCTATCAAAGGCAGTTGAGTGCATTTGATTAAGGATTACATGTGATTAGTGGCCTGCACTGCAAGGTTGAGAGTACAACTTGTATCATTAGTGAGTATTCACATATTAATGCTGCTTTGAGCAGAGATTGAACTAGATGACCTCTGAGGCCTGTTCCTACTAGTATGGTTTTTTGATTATCACACTTGTATTATGCAAATAGATAATTTCCTTTATTAAAAAAATCATTAGTTGGATAAGCTAAACTCTTAAGTCACTGCCATTATTTTACCTAATTGCATCATGTTGTAGCATGGAATTGCAAATTTGATCAAAATTTAAGATTTAAAACAGTAAGAGGAATACACTCATGTCTTTTTTGTGTATTGCTTCAAATTCTTTGTATACAGTTTTATGTCAGATTGAATTCCTTGTGTGGGAATTCTTTCCTAGCATACAGTTGACTTGTTCTAGAATTAGCCCACAGAAGAGTGGCTGAAAATTTGGTGCTTTATTGTGCAGGTGTGTGAATGGATTTAAACTTACTCTGCCTAATTCAGGTACCACTAGTACTGAGACTACAGTAACGAAGGCATCAGTGCAGGTTAGCAGCCTAAGAAAGGCTTGAGACCCTAAAAACTTTCCAAAGCAAGGACTCGGAATGTGAGAGGGCATTCTTATATTAAAAAAAAAAAAAAAAAATATCCCAAACCCACAACCACCCCAACAAACTCCCCCACTGTATGTAGAATCTAAATATATATAGGTGTTGAGACACAGCTGATTGAGTTTAATAAACAATAATCCTTCTCAGGAGCAGCGAGTCATATGGATTTTCTTCCTGTGTCTGGATAAACTTTATACCCATTGATACCTCTATAACTGTTCTCATTTGGTATTGTTAATTACTTATTTTTAAGCCAGAAGTTGGTGATAAGAGAGGAAATCCCTTATCTGCTGCCTGTAAAAGGCCAATCACTTTCACTTCCATGCAGTTAGAAATGTTTTTATGTAACATTATAAGCCTCCCAATAGTTGCATTAATCTCAGTAATGCAACAACCAGGCTGTGGTTGTTGTCATGTCTTATTGGTAGCAGTGTATTTCAGGAAAACACGTTTGTGTGCTTTTATTTAAAAATACAAGGAGTATGGTAACATCTCAAGTAATGTGTTAAGGACCTGGCAGGTCTCTTGGGCTTTTAGGGAGTATAGAAAGCAATTAAAAGGAATAAGAGGTGCTAGGAAGGAGTGGAGTTATTTCTTTATGCTGCTCTTCACCACAAGGATGTTGTGGGCATTTTATTCTTTTCAAATAATGTTGATTGGATGTTATCTGATTATGGGATTAGAGTGGCGAAAGACTGAATGCTAGAATGAAGTGCTAAAGACTCCTAAGTCACCAGGACTCGATGCTATTCATTCCTTTTGTGGTTCTAAAGGATGAAGTGGCTGATCTGCTAAGAAGAATGCATCTCGTTAGGATGAGATGCTGTGCCAGGAGACCGGAAGCTGTCAAGGGCTGTACATACTGTACTTCTAAACTGAACACAAAGAGCAGAGCTGGAATTTGCAGACCAAGGACTCTTATTTTAATGCCACTTAAGTAGATTTGAATTCTGCATGGGTAGTCTAGTAGTTCTGTGAGAACAAGATACAACAGCTTTCTATGCAGTTTTATTTTAGAGGTAATGAAAAATACCAGCTGCAGCTGGGTACTTGTCATGTGTCCCTTGCTTGTGTGTTTGTTCCCTAATAACGAGGGCATCGACTGCGGTCTGTACTTCACTTTGGTCTGTTTGTGGGTTGGTCTTCTATGTCTATCTGCCCAGTACTGGGATTTCTGAAATCTCTGAATTCTTATTAAACTATAAATGACTTTTCAGTTTTCCTTTTTGATAAAGTTTGAAATCAGGGAGTGGATTTGAAAGTTAGAAAATGCCAGGCCTAACCTAAGCAGACATGTTTAACTGCATTAATCTCTTCTGTGTTTAGCAGTCTAAAGAATGACTAAGTTGCTTCTGTCATTAGTAGACAAGAGAGGGATGAATCTATATACTGCTACACTCACACACCCTGTTTAGTTCATCCCACCTTAAACTTGCAGTGTGTGGCCTTTGGCAGGAAATTGTACCCCACGTAATTTGGGTGAGGCTCTACAAGTTGTCATTTTTGATGTCATTGTGGGGATGATGACCAGTGATGCAGAGGTGGAACTGAAAGTTAAAGCAGTCCAGGAGTATGCTGTGCTGCTTTCAGTGGCAAAGCTGTGATGTACCTTGTAGTTTACACTCAGGTGACAACAGCAGCTCTTAAGTACTGACTTTTGTAGCTGCAATTAGATGTGTGGTCTTGCTCCCTCAATTTCCCTCCTGCTGTATTAGCACAGTGATTTGTGCTGTCATGCAGTGACTTGAATCAGAAAATTGATCCTGACTTCGAGAGGGGTCTGTGGCAAGCAGCAATTTCTGACCCAAGCTAGTTCCTCACTCTGGTCTAGTGGGTGGCTCCACCAGGAGATGGGATCATGGCCTAAGGATCAGAACAAGCAGCAAGAGGGTCCTCTCTCTTTGAACTGGCGTTTTACCAGAATAGATGCTCATCAGATTATGCCTCTAGAATCTGTGACTCATCTTGCCCTCAAGTAAGCATCCCAAGTAGTACAGAATACATTCTGTAAAATCAGAGAAACTTGAAGTTGTGAGAAACTTGAAGGCAGCCTTCTAAAGCTGTCTGTATTAGCATGATGGTGGTAGCTGACATTTGGTAGTTTTAGTTACAAAATAATTCATGCTGGAAGGGGTAACTTCAACTACTTGAAGATAATTCTATATTACAAGCAAAATATTCTGCAAAATACATGTATCATTATAGACACCCAGGTGAAAGCCTCTTTGAAGAGAAGAAATATATAATGTATAAAAACATCCCTAAAATGTATGGAAGTGGTGCTCTGCAGTAGCATTGAATGGAAGTTCCTTATCTGGGCATCTCTGCTTAGATGAACTGTCTGTCTGGTTTAATGAATCAATTTATACTTTATCAATCACTGCATATACATATCCTTTATGTATTTTAAATGCTATTGTTAAGTAACAAGTTCTTGAAAACTAAGTAAAGTATTTTCTGTAAGTTTAGACCAAATCAAGTTGCTTTACTTCTTGCTTTCAGTTCAATTACTTCAGATGATCTGTAAATTTTCAATAATGGCAATACATTCATTCTGCCATTTGGAGGAGCCTGTGCCACAGAATAATGATCTGAAGAAAGCTCACTCATTTGCAAGGAAGAGTCTTCATTTGGGAATTAGCACTGATGCAGCTCAAGGGTGCTTTTTCAAGTCCAGGTACGTTTTGCTTAATTATTCTTACTTGGGTTTGGTATGCTGGCATTTCATTTACATGAGCATATATGCTATGTCCTGTCAGAGCCTTTGTGTTGGTCATTTGACGCATGAAGTGTGTTGAAATTAAAAGGCACATGTAGGAGCAGACATACGAGATGAGTAGAGGGAAATAGTCTGGAAAATAATTCTGGCACCATTTATTATCTCTGGAGTAGCTGTCAATGGAGGTTATGATCTTAATGACACAATTCCCTTTTGCTGCATGCTTTTTCAGACTTTTTGTATGTGTTTATTATATAAATTCAGTATTTGCTAAGCCCGAGTTGTTGTTTTGTATCAAAATGTTATTAGGTCTCAAGTCACTTAGAGGCAGTAAAAAGGAAGGCACAGTTAGGTTTTCACAGCTTGAAAAATTTTCTACTTTAAAAAAATCAGCCTTGGAATTTTTAAAAATTTATTTTATTTTTATTTTTTCTAAAGTGTGTTATTCAATCTTGGCATTGTAACACCTGACCAGGATTTAATTTTAGACTAATGGTTTCTCTATGTAGTGTTTATTTTTTTTCAAGACATCCAATTATTTTAATAACTTAATCATGACTTCACAGCACAAGTTGGTTTCTAGTAATATTCTGTATGAGAGCTATATACAATGTACATTCAATAAGAACTATTAGCAGTAAATTAATAAAATAATTGTGAATATTTAAACAGGCACTTGAATTTCTTGTGTTCTCATTGCAAACTGTGGGGATTCTTTAATTGCTGATGGGTTAGGTGTTCCAACCAGCAGACAAATAAATGATAATGTGGGAAAAAACCCAACTGCAAATGCTTCTTATCAGGCACAGTACCGTTAGTCAGCCTTTTCAGTGGTGCACAAATCAAGAATCTTTTAATGATATCTGTCTACTCTGTTAGTTAAATTATTAGTTTAGTCAGTTAAATTAGATTTATTTGTTAAATTACTCAATCACTTGCATTTTTCTAGATGCATATATGATCTGAGAAGCCTTAACAATATCATTTGTCATGCTAAAAATCCTGCTGAATTAAATGGATTTCAAATTTCTCAGGCATATTGTTGTTGTATCTTTTGGGTCTGGAAACAGAGGCTCCTGTTCTGCATGTTTTCATGCACATTTGACTTCCTGTCAGTGCCTTCCTGGTAGAGAACAGATGCTGAGAACTTCAGTGACTTAGAAAGAGCATTGCTCTTTTTAAAGTGTAAGCCTTTAGTTTAGTCCCCTCATTCTTATGGGAATCATGAAGATGATGTTTTAAATAAATGCTTTATAATGTAATGGATAATTAGAAGTCAGAGACTAGTTTAAAATAGCTTTTGAATCGTTTGTGTACTCCAAACAGGAATAGCAGTAGTGAAAAGGAGGCTGTTGCTTCAGTGTACTTCTAAAAATTGAAATACATGTCAATATAATCACCACAAACCAGAATTATCTGGTCCTATTTTGCAGTATGAATGCTATGAATAGTGTTCACTAGATATGATTTTAATTTTTTTTTTAATGACACAATTATAAAAACTGAGGGCTTTGGTGTATCCAAATTTATTTCTAAGGTAATTGAAGGACAATATTTATTCTTAAGCTTATTAGGTCCTGTTGGTGAGAATCTATTCCAGCTGCACATGAAGTCAGACTTTAATGGAACACAGTTCCATTGAACCCAAAGTAGGACAAGAGTAAAACAGAAACCAAGTTTCATATTATTCGTAATAATGCTTATGGTGTCAATAATATGGATATTGAGAGCAGCAAGTGGTTTTTTTTTTCAGACTCTTTCAGCAGAACTGTTATTTTCCTAACACAGCCTCTGGTACAAGGATAAAACTGGGTTTTTGTCAAAGAACAGAGTCCTGTATCTGAAGATTAAGAAGGTAAGGTATTTGAGATTATATCATTTCAGCAAGCAGTTAACAGTAATTTTGGTTATTTGTTACTTTGCACAGAAATATACAAAAATACTTGATTCATCATGCATCAACAAGTCTCAAGCATTTTATATTAGTTCCTTTTTGCTGGCTGGGGTTTTTTTCCCCTTTTTATCTCATCAGTGGAATTTCTGAAAGCATTCAGCTCTGCTTTCTAAATGTGTTTTCTGTGAAATCAATGAGCTAACCTGAGTGGGAATGAAGGTTGGTTTATCTTTGGTGAGTCAAAGTTAAGTTGTCAATAACTGATGTTGAAATACCATCCTTCAAATGCTAGGTCCTTGACATTCAGTGGGATGAGAATCTCAGAACTGACTACTGGGGACTCCCAGGCTACAGATCAGGTAAATAACTTCTTTGGAGGAGGAAATTAAAGGTGTCTTCTTTTTAAAATTATGATAATTAAGTAGCAAAGTGTGCAACTTAAACTATAAATATTTCCCACTTAACATTTAATTTAAAATAGACATGTCTATATTTGTGAGAGGATTTGTTAGTTGCAGTTTGAGCCTTATATAATTATCTAACATTCCAGCAGTACTGTTTCTAAAGAGGACTTCTACACTGACACAGCACATGAATGTCTAGTTCTAATTCCATTTTCCAATGTGAACCTGTGTGTAGTTGGTTCAACTACTGTGGTTTTTATTTTGCAAAGACAGAGATGTCTTCTCATATTGAATGCTTAATTTAGAACTAACAGCTTCCATATTAGAGTAAGTGATAGGGGCTCTGTTCAGATCGTGGGATTAACTTGGTTTGTTTCCTGCTTTGGCTAGTCCCCACTTTCTCCAAGAACAGGGTAACTAAATTGTGTTGTGAGAGCTCAGTATAGTTGGTAACAAAGAGCTTTAAGGTCACCTAGAACTGGTGCTGCTGTAGTTTATTTCTGCTCTTGGAAAGTACAGTGGTGCTGCTGCCTCAGTACTGGGAGCAGGAAACTTGGAGAGGAGCACTGTGCAATGGCAGCAGGAGCTGTTATGGCTCTCTCTGGTGGCTTCTCCTAGCTCATCTTCCAGGGTCCTCTTTTGCTCTGCTTTTTGGAAGGGATGGGCAGGAAAAAGGTGGAAAATAGTTCTGTAATTGTTAAAAAAAGCAGTAAGTTTTCCTTGTTAAAAACCAAAAAGTTTTTCTTCTGTTGTTTCAAAGAGAAAACATGACAGATTTGGGTATTTGATTTTAAGACTTACCCAATTTCAACTATAGACTTACTTCCTTGCCATCTTCAAAACCAGAAAGATAGTATAAAAGGATCAGTATTTTGAGATCAAGAATAAAAATTGAGAGTATTTTAAGATAAAAGATTACAACAAATCAAAGAAATACATGTATTACTTTTAAGATATTTAACTTCAATGGGCTGTTAACATCAATGAGATATATTTAGGGTTTTCTATGTTCAGTTCTATAGGCAATATAGAATGTGAGAGAAACAGCTGCATCTGAAATAGATAATCTGCTTTAAAAAGTAAGCAATAATTCCTTCCAAGCAAATGGTTAAAAAAACCTATTTAAATACAAATGGCTCTATAGTAGCTTCCTAATTCATTTAAGTAAGTAGAAGGAGAATTGCATGCTTGTAATAAGTTGTGTGTTCCTAAGTGGTAAAGAATACAAGGTTTGGGGTTTTTTTCCCTATAGAAATGAGTAATCCCTGTAATTTTTGCCACAGGATATACTAAACTATTGGGGGCAAGTTCCTGTAGCTCTTGAATTTGTAAAGTTCTAGAAAATCTGATCTACAGTTATTAAAGGTTCTTTATAGTTTAAAAAAAATGTAGCACACAGCACATTCACTCTTAGAGAAGTGATGTGTTTTAAGAGACAGTTCATACCACTGTAGATAAGTTTGTTAGCACTTTAAAATAGAAGTCTCTGAGCAACACATCAGCTGTGCATGTACCTCTCTTTGTGGGTAACCCATTGATACATTAGTTTTATGGAATATCTTTGTTCCAATGTTCTTTAGAACACAGCTTCCTGCCTGCTCAGAAGGACGTAACTTAACTTGTTCTTGGGACTTGTGTTCCAAGAATGTCTAAGAGAGGGCTCATGTGGGAGCTGATGTGTAGCTTACCTTAGGGCTTAGCAACAATGGCAGGACTGGATACCACCCAACGTGCTACACTGATTTTGAGTCCCAACCTCACGACATTTTTTTGAGAGCAGGCCCAGAAATTTGTTATCCTGATCATGAACATCTAGTTTAAATGATCTCCTCTTGGATCCCAGTCTTTTATTGTTGTCATATTGAGCTGGTTGATTATATTTTTGAAGGAGGAGAATCTGTTGCCTTATCTGCAATACAGCTATGGGAGTTTCAGGGTCTTCCAAAAGAGGATATCTCATTCCTGACATGCTCACCAAGAGGAGGTGATGAAGCCTATGTAGTGCTTGGAAGATTAACTTCATTATCATGCTATGGAATGGTAATTGTGTACATTATGGAATACTGTCAAAAAGAGCAGTGAAGTTGATTTTTAAGGAGTAGATTAAGTATTGCATCCTTCAAGATGCTTTCTGTAAGTTAAAAGTATTTTAAATTAATTTTTACAGAATTTCAGAGTATTGAGAAATTATAAATTTTGCATGTAATAGACTACATTTACTGGCAGGTCTTTGAAGTGTTCTATTAACTATTTGCAATGAGATATTTTTTCTAAATAGAGACATCATGTTTGTTTAACAAGATTTTCTATATAAGTATGCCCTTCCTATTAATTTATGATAGCATGCTATAGAAGAATTGTAATGTTGAGTTTTATTTTCAACTTTTTTCTTCTTGCTGAGGTTCATCAACTAGCAAACAAAAACCCCCTACTTTCAAGCACGTCACTTTTTAACACAGGTCGATCCCTGGATGAGAACATTCATGCTATTAAAAGTCAATATTTTACTTTTTTTTTAATAACTAACGTACCTATCAGAACATGTGCTAGGTTATGGTTGCTGAAGTTCATATTCTTAGTGAGGCACATGCAGTTCACCTTTGATAGGTAAGTTACAGTTGTAGATATTTCACTTTATTCTAAGATTTTTGAGAGCAGAGATCTTATTTTAGGGGGAGGAAGAGATAGGGTGACAAAAACAATAGACTCAGCTTCTCTTGAGTCTATTTTGGAAGCTGTTGTGAAGAAGTCACAAGTAAAGAGGAAAATGCTTTCTTGTTTTATCAGGTTATGCTGTAGTCTCAACTCAGTAGTCTGCGAGTTACCATTCTTAGTGTCCCGGGGCAACACAGTAGTTAAAACTTTTTTTTTCATTTGTTTTGTCCTTTAAAGAACACTAGGATAAATTGCTAAACTTTATTCCTGTAGAAGCAAAACATTTGGGGTTTTTGTTTGGTTTTTGGTTTTTTTTTAACAGCACAGCTGGAATTGGCAGATGCTGTTTCAAACAACCAGGTAAAGTGCAGGTAGTGTGGAAGTACTGTTGTGCAGCTGAGCTAAAGGAATTTTGAGGGATAACTACTTGCCTGTTATTGTCATTGGCAAGTTACAGGTAATTTCCAAAGCTGTAGTCTGGCAGAGAAGTAATAATTGCTTTTATGTGTGTTTTTCAAGCCAAGACATACACTTTACTTTTACCAGTGTTTTTACAAAGATTCAAAATTACCACAACTTGTTGCTTAAAAAAAAAAGTTTGTTTTAAAAGAAAAGGAGATATGAAGAGAATAGTGACACTTGAGTGGCACGGAGAAAACTTTTGTCAGATGAACTCCTGACAGAATCTGGCAGAAATTCAAGGTCTGGTTTGTCACTAGTAATTCCATTAGCATTTCAAAGGTTGGTGGTGTTCTGAGAATGACACAGGAGGGATTATTTTTTAAGTTAAGAATTAGTACTCCAAAGTGTTGCCTGCGCTAGGAATGTTGTTACTCTCTTGCAATAGGTAAATGGACTATATCTGAGACACTTGGTTTTCTATCAGACATTTCTCTTCTTTATCTGTACTGGCATAATTAAAGTATCAGCCACCTTTCCCCAGTGTGAATAGAGCTGTATCAGTATAAAACTGTATCTATTGGTAGCTTATTTCCACACTGAAGGAAACAACCTGGCAGCACTGGCCTAATTCCAGGAATTGTTTTTAATTATATTGCAGTTGCTATGCCAGTATAAATTATTCCTATTGGAGATCTTGCACCAGATGAAAGTGACTTCAATCTAGTTTATTTGCCCTTATCTATATAGCCCCATAAAAAATTACACCACTTCAGTTTCACAGGTTTGATTTGCCTTTGTAGGCAGACTTGCTCTTTACACTGACTTATCTCCATTTATGCTAAAGGATATAAACAATGAGTGTTTTGACAATGAAATGCATCTTCTGTTCAGATATAAACCTAATCTATTCAGTTAATGCTAGAACAAGTACAGTTTACTGTGAAGGTTAGAATATTTCCATCAGGCTGTGTGCACCAGAGCCTATAGAGCAGCTGTCCCCATCCTGAATCCTAACAACTCTGTTATTCAGCATGAAGTACAATGTTTTATCAACTTTCAACTGCTCTTTTATAGAACAGTGTCTTGCCTCACTTTTCTACAATCCAGTATGTGTTACCTAAGAAAGAGTTAGGAAGGTTGAAGTCGGAATATAAGAATTTGGATCACTTGGAAATAGGGCTAATCTGCATGTGCTTGTTCTATACAGATATTGTTGAGTAGATTCAGATCATCTGTTTTAAAGCTACAAGTGAGGGAGAGATCTTTAAGATGTGGGGAGGGGATTGTGATGGGGAAAAGAACTGAAAATAAGTATAAAATCAGTCTAAGTATACTGCTATAAGCATGGGAACAGTAAAGAAGGGACCTTGCCAGAGACTAACTCACAGAAACAGAGCCAAGAGCCCAGGGACCTTTGACCATTCAGAGAACATTCACTAACTTTAATTAGCTGTTCTCTGTCCTGTGCTTACTGATTGTTTCTTCCACCTCTTGCTGTCTGTTCTACCTCTTCACTTCTGCTTCATTCCTGCATACTACATATGCTTCCTCCCACCCAATGTGCCCTCCTTACCCTGTACCTCCTTCTGTGTTGTTTGCAAGCAAAAGCCACCTGCAAAGTAGAGCTACTGTTACATTTACTGCAGTCCTGCTGTTTGTGCTGTGTGTGGACTTTTCCCCTGTGCTGTCTTACCTGTTTAGACTTCTTCTTTTAATGTGGTCAGGGACCTTTTACTGTTCTGTGTATTTGCTCTATCCAGCATAAATGGAACTCTAATTTTCATAAGTCCTTAGAAAACCTTAAGTATGGTATAAGAATAATGTTCCTTTATCCTGTTCTTTTATAAAAATCATTCACAAGCAAGTGATCACCCTTAATGAGATGAAACATATGACATTCCATGGGATAAAAAAGAATTTTGCTCTTGCAGTCTTTCTGTAGGTGAACCATGATTTAAAAGTATAATGTTACAGCTGTGGTTATATTAGTGTCCAGCATAATAGGATGAATGCTTCAGAATGAATTTTCTATTTGCTGTGTTTGCATTGCACTTGCAGTGGTTTGCAAATTGCTGGTTTGTTTTCCATGTCTTACAGCTATATAATTTGCTTTCTAGAAATCATTTTGGTAGGTGTGGGTTGCTTGTCAGAAATCTGTTCCGAAGCTTGAGTGCAAAGGAAGCAGGGTACTAATGATGAATAAGAATGGATATCTTGAGGATAACAATGGATATGGCATCTTCAAAAGCAGTGGCATTCTGGTAAGAATTTGCATGTAATTTATTAAACACAACGTGATAGTTCTCAGTAAAATGCGTTTGTGTCTCTCTCAGAGGATTTGTCTGATGAAATTTTCTTCTAAAATGTGAAAAGTAGGAGGATTGCTCTATATCATGAAGTATTTTAAATTCTGAAGCATTGTACAACAACTTTACTTAGCATTGAGTTCTTGCATATAAAAATAGTGAAAACATCTTTTTAGAAAAGTTATTTTAGAGAGGGAGTTAGTGGCCATTTATGGCTCACTGTTTGTGAGCCTGTTTCTCTGAATATTTAGAACTGAATATTTTTGAACTGTCATTTAAAAAAAACAAACTGCTTTTTTTTCACTCAGAGTATATTCTCTTGTGGCATATTTCACCACTACACATGCCAATGTTGTAACAGGCATTGCATCCAGCTTTGCAGGAGATACAAAACACATAATTATTGACAAAGTAATTATAGCTGGAAACTTTTAATCCTCATATTGGCTAAAAAAATATGGCAGCATGCTAAGTTAATGATTGTTGGAAGTTTCACACCATTTAAATAATGTACACTATTAGAAAGTGCAAGTAAAAACACCAATTAAAGTTTTACTGTAACTGCAATGTAGTACAAGGGATTCCTTTTAGTTTAGTATTTGAAATCACTTAGGCCAACAATTCCCTAAGCAAAAATTTTTGTTTTCACCAAAGCAAAGTATATTCTTATCTTTGTAGATAACGACTTCTTGAAATTAACAAAGAATTTGTGCCTCTTTTCCATCCTATTCTTTGAATCCCACTGGTTTATACTGAAGTGGAACTGTTCTGTGGCAGCTGGCAATTCTCAAAGCTCCTTGGTTAAAGGTATTTTGAGGTGCTGGATGTGCATATGCTCTGTAGTAAAGAGCAGCACAGACACTGCACGTTCTTCTGCTGAGCCAGTTTCATAGCTGAGATAGCTGTTCCAGAGTGTGCTACTTGCAGTGAAGTCAGGGTTTAGACACACCTCAGGAACTCTGAATTTTGTCATGCCCTGCAGAAAGCAGCGGTGGCTGGGAGCCGATTCACAAGCAGATTAGGCATTAATCGGATAGTCTGTGTTGGGCAGAGGGCTGGTGGCTCATGTCTAAGTGCTAACAGCGGGCCTGGCAGAGGCCTTAGCCCTGCTCAGAGGCTAGGATAAGGAGCTCAGACACATCCTTGTGCCAGCACAGATACTTCCCATGCACACACAGTGAGAGCAGGAAAACAGGGGTGTATTCTCATGGGGGTGAGCGCCAGCCAGGCTGGCAGAGCCCAGTTGCTCTGGGCTCCATTGCACAGTGTAGATGTACATCAGAACAGGTACCTAGGGCAGCATTCATTGAAACAGAGCATCCTCACTGAGATACTGAGGGAGGAAGGACAGAGAATGCCTGGTAGGTAAGCTCCTGAAAGGTCTGTGGCCACACTCCAAAGATCTCATATAAGTACATAAGTTAGACCTAAAAAGATTAATGTAAGCAGTCTCCTTATTTGAAATTAGATTGGCAAGCAAGGTGACTAAGAGTGACTATTCAATATCCCTTTATCTAACATTCAGTTTTTCATTCTTACTTTTGAGGTGGGAGTGAGATAAAATCTGGCCCTCAAAGTACTGTGTACTCATTCCAGTGCCAAAACATGAAACACAAATCAGCACCTTAAATTTAGGGGCATACCAGGTTCCCTAGTGCACTTGGACAAATATGCATGTTAGATATATGAATGTAAACTTAGCTGCTTTGATGTACTTATAAATTTTTTTTTTTGACTGCTGTGATTCTCTGGGCTAATGTAGTAAGAAGCTAATGGAGAGGAAACTAGGCTGCTCTACAACTTTTATTTTTCTTGCCAAGCTAATCTTTCACTCAGGTTCATTGCATGTCAAGTGTTTGGTTAATTATTTTATCTTATTTATATTTTAAACCAACTTTTTTCAGGGGGAGGAGTGGAGGGAGAGAGGGCCAAGGGAGTGGTGTTAAGTTCTGAGTTTTAAATTCCCTCAGATTCTGAAGGAGGATACCAGTGAAGAAAAACCTACTTTGCAATTTCCCTATTGTAGAGGTACTTTATCTGTGGGTGCAGTAGTTATAAAAGTCAAGTCTGGAGTGTCTTTTTTTGTTGGTCTTTTCTAAGATGACTGTACTGACTGGTATGGTTTAAAATAAAAACAGTTAAGTTATTGACTTGTAAAAGAGTTGACTGTCATTTTCTGCTTAATTCCTCTTTTGCTGAATAATTTCTGTGATATTAACTTCATTTGTGACACTTTACTAGGTGCAGGCCTGAGGGGGAAAATGTTATAGTTCTTTCACAATTCATTGGTTTGTGGATATTTCTGTTATGTTGTTTCCACACTGAATGACTCACATGTTAAATGAACATGCCAGCCCCAAGGCATGCCCTCGCTGTTGCAGCCCACAGTGAAACTTGATGCCATTGCACAGAAAAATGTGGAAGATGCTCATATCCGTTTGAATCCTTGGGAAGTTCTGTGCACTTTGGACACGTGTGCTAGCAATTACTCAATGTATGTTCTTTCAAAAAGACGTGGTATACCATGATTGCTCTTTTTCATACTGTTGATTTGCTGAGTTTGTAAGCTGCATCTGTCTTGTGAACACAAGTTGGAACTGAGAAATGGTAATTTTTAGTTGTTTTTTTGTTTCTTTTAACAAGGTGGTACAGTTTCATTGTATTCATTTCTGGACTGTTTGATGAGAAGCTACAGAAGTATCTGATTTGCATTGCCACCTGTGCATTTTTTAAGTTATTTTGACAGATTCAGAAATTGTTTTATTTTGGAAGTTGATAGCACAGATCTAATGCTCTCCACATTGTGAAAACACTAATTAGTATTAGATTGAACAAGCTGGACCTGATTACCTTAGCTCTCTTTGAGTTTTGGCTTTCTTACCCGTTTGATTTTTCATTGTTTAATAAGAATGTGAAAGACGAAACAGATTTATCTATTGATGAAGTCACAAAAATTATCACGTTACAGAAGCTTCACATCAGAATGTTGCTAGGAGCAGGCTCTTTGATATCTGTAATAGGGAGAGAGATGTGCACTCACAGCAGTGAGAGGAAGGGCTTTGAAAAGTATATGAAGTAAAACTTTTTTGATACCGTTTTGAATCTTTAGGACATTTTGGGTTTTTTTCATGTGCCATATATTGGTGTAAACTCTAAGTCTTCATTGATTCATATAGTGAAAGTATGTGTATGGCTCCAGAATTTTTGTTCTGTGGTTTTGTTTTGTGGTTTTGATAGGAGTAAGACAGATTGCTGTGACAGGATAGATAAAACATATCACAAGGCGGGTATTTTGGCTTTTAAATAATGGTCTTGTTCTGTCGTGCATAGTATGCAGTGGAGGAGTTCATGCCAAAGTGAACAGATACATTTACGGGAAGACCACTCTTCAATATAAATTTTTCACTCAACATTACTCATGGCTGTCCTTTGGGTGCAGCTTTTTCTGTCTGTGTCCCTGCTTGTTTTCATGAGGAGGTTGTCACTGCCCACCTAACTCTACTTTCACTGGTGGGGAGCTTGTCTGTCCCATCCCCTGTTAGCTTTGGCAGCAAGACCAGGCACGTTAATGAAAACTATGTGCAACTGTTAACAACATCGATCACAATTGCACAGGAAACACTGGAAGGCAATAAAAGCAACTGTTTCAGTCCTGTTTGCAGTTCTAGTGCCCCCAGACCAAGTCATCTCAGGTCACTTAAGGATGTCTCACTAAAATGATATTAAAACATATAAAGTTATAACAAGTCTACTGTTTGATCTTCAAGTGGTGTTGAGGTATAGGCAAGAAGGAGGAGGTAGCAAAGTGAAAATACATCAGAAATTACTGCTCTGGCCAGCTGATGTGTTTGAAAGAATGGTGTGATGGTGCAGAGGGTGGTAATCTTGTACAGCTGCGTTTGCTTATAATAGACCATAGTAACAACAGCAAGCCAGAAAGTTTGTGGTGTACTGGTGTATTCCACATCTATAGGTGTAAAAGCTGCCTCGCTGGACTTCTTGCAGTCTTTGGCTTGTCAAGAGCCTTCTTTGTCTGCCAGGAGAGATCCTGGAATCGTGCTGGTGTCTGCTGCAGCGTGTACAGTTTTAGTCCTGCTCTCTCACTTTCCCGCCTGTTCCACATAATTTTTTTTGTTCCTGTACTGCATGATGAGGATGTGCAGCTCTCAGGTAAAGCTCAGGGGCTGAGTTTTGACTAACAAATCAGGGTTTCTTACAAGTACAGAAGGAGCGTCGATGTCAGGGACTGGTGGTACCATCCTTTTCCTTTTTCCGTGGAATCCTTCAATGCTTTTCTCTCGGGGGGATGGGGAGGTGGCTTCACCCGTGGCAGTGCTCAGCTCTGCCGGTTACCTGCGCACGGACCGTGTTGCACATGAGCCCGTCCGAGTGGCCTCAGGGTGTTCCCGTGGGATCTGTCCTCGGGCCAGCGCGGCCAGAAATGTCTCCATTGGGATGCTCCGGGCATGGCCTCGGTGCCTTCAGCCCGCCGGGGCAGGATGTGAGCGGCTCCTGCCCGGGCCGGCGGCATTAGGACCCGGCAGGTCGTGCCTCCCTCTGTCCCCCTCCCTCGGCAGGGCGCTGGCGGCGGCCCCGGGCAGCGGCGGCGGCTGGGGCTGGGGCCGCGGCTGGGGCTGGAGGGACCTTTGCCCGCCGAACAGCCGCTGCACCGGGCGGACGGAGCGCCCGCTCCGCGCTGCCTTCATGTCAGGTTCCTTTTGTGCACTTATAGCAGAAACTTCGCTCTTCCTTCCGTGGTTATGAAGGGGATTGTGGCACTTGTTCTTCTTTGAAAACGTGCTTTGGCTAATGTTAAAATACATCGAATTTAATGCCTACATGATATTCGCACTACAAGACTTTCACAGCAACTACTATGTATCCTGCTGAACTCTTTGTAGTATCATATTTGAAACAAGACCGTAAGAATAAGAGTTCTAACCATTAAATTAGAA